CTCTGTTTCTCCCCTGGCCTGTTGAGGAGCCGCGGAAAAAGACAGAGGTATCTACTTCTCCAAAATCCTCCAGATGAAAAACATCTGATCCTGTTTTTGGTTTTTTTTTTTTTTTTACTACTTTTTCTGCATGACGTGCCCACGTCATCAGCTGTGGGACTGAGGCAGCATCATATTCAACCAGGTGTTTTTTGATCCAGCCCTCAATTTCAGGGCGAAAACTAGACATTAAAGCGTTTTTTAGTTGTTGTTGATATACGCTTTCTAGTCCTTCATCATAAGTGATCCCACTGTGAACTTTGAACTCCTTCTCAAACCGCAGACGAAAATCGTCCACGTCTTCTCCAACTTTTTGTTTAATCCCTGACAGATGACTATAATTTGCCTTTTTACGAAAATTTGTTCTAACTCTCTCACACAACGGATCCCATTTTTTTTTTTTTTTTTTTTAAATGATCAGAGAGAGAGAGAGGTTAACTCCTGGAGGGTGTGGAATTGGAGCTAAAATATTATTAGTTATTTTCCCTGTATAATTTCCTCTTACTTCTACCCAATCCTTTCCTAATGAGGGTATGGCTGCTTCGCCTGCTTCTACCCCATTTAATCTATATGAATGGATTAATCCAGTCATGTCTTCTATCCACTTATCGGGGTCTTCTGTTACAGGTGTTATTCCTTCTACAGCCTTTCTGGCCTCTTTTAAGGTCCAGGGTCTGAAAACATATAAGTTTTGTGCACCTTCCTCTAATGAGGGGTACAGTCGTGCTGCTGGGACTGGGGCAGACGGAGCTGCTGCAGCGACGGGGGGAGGAGCAGCTGCAGGAGCTTCCACTCCCTGCACCGTTGCAGCATTCCGTGTGCTTAGAATGATTTTATTATCTTTCGGTCTAACAAATAGGTTCTTTGCTTCTACGAATTTTTTGTCTTTAACCTTTTTAATTTGTTCTTTCCGGTCTATGGCTGCTTTTAACCATAATTTAGCACATCTCAGCTCATCCTCCTTTTTAGCCTTTATTATTCCCGTTTTTCTTTCTACACTACTCTCCAAAATTCCCACAATTGTTTGCCATTGATCAATTTTTAGCTTTCCATCTATTTTATATTTCTTTCTCCATTTTTTCATGTGTACAGTGCTACCAGGAAATCTGGACAGCATGTACTTTTCATCCCTATCGGGGCCTTCAGCGAGTGAAGAATTACAAGAATTTGTGTTTCCCATTATTTAAATCACTTGCAATTTTAGCTTGAAAATTTTGGTATTATGTGCTCTCTCAGAGAAAGTGCCGTAGGTCAACGCTCAGTGCCTCCTGAAGAACAGGCTTCTACTTGGAGCCGAGCTTCCAAGCGGTTCTTCACTCAGGATTCTAATTCCGAAGGCAGAGAGTTTTACTCCCAGAGGGAGAGACACCATTCACTCCTTCATACACACACACACATCAAAGCAGCAAGCAAACAGCAATATCAGCACAGTAATAACAGAACAGTAATAATAAGCTTCCTATCTACGTGAGGACTTACCCTTAAGAGGTGTCCTCTAAGTAAGGAGGCTCTCTAAGAGCCTTTCCTTTTGCCTTTAGTTGAAACTCTGTCAACTGGGACCCTTATAACTTCTTTAGTCAAGCTGGTATCTGACAAGGACTCAAACCTTACTTTAGTCAAACTGATATTT